ATGCACTGATGAAGCAAATGCATTGTTAATAAAAATACATATAGAAGGAACATTTATTCCTTATGTATCTTGTGTCAAATACTGTATAAGAATCTATGGAAACAAATGTAAAATATAAGACATGAACCCTACCCTAAGAAGTATATAGACTGGTGAAGAAAGAGACAAACACTATCATGCAGGTAATCAGTGTTGCAGAAAACCACATGTTCACTGCTATCAGAATAAAGAAATGGAAAAATTAGTTCTGCCTAAAATTGATGTAAGTGGTACAAAGTAAGGAATATTCAGGAGAGCATAAGATGCCTGGTGATACCATCTTCTAAAGCACATTATTACTGCTTTTCGCAATGAATTTTCACCATTTGATAACTACATAGGCACTTTGTGAATGAAGAAAGTCCTATTTTAGTTAAAATTTTTTATTCCAGGTTTATGTATAAATGTTAATTGTTCCCACCAGTAAGAGAATATCTTATTCTTATTAAATACATACTGAACATTTTACACAAGTTAATTTGAAAAAATAAGCATTTAAATATAATTTTTATGAAACTGAAGAAACCTATAACCATTAAAGTACATACCCACATATCCACACACACACATCCACATGCATATACACATATACCACATATACACATATACCCACATATCCACACACACACATATATGTATATGTATATTTTACAGCTTTGCTGAGGTATACTTCAGGTGCCATAGAACTCACCCACTGTCAGGGGGCACTGCATTGTTCTTGTTTAGTACATTTACAGCGTTGTGAAACCGTTATTGCAACTGTTCCAAACGAGCCCAAATATTTCCCTTGAACCAGTTTGCAGTCTGCCCCCACCCCCAGCTCCTCACTGATCTGACTTCTATACATTTGTCTTTTGGGGGGGGGGGTATTTTATATAAATGGAACTTTAGGACTCTCTTAAGAATCCTACCTTCCTGTCTTAATGGAAATGCCACCTTAGTTGATTGGGAACATTTGAAATCCCAAAGAATCCTTCTGAGGCCATGGGAGAGATGCAGCGAGTTATGGAAAGGGTCCTGAGTCTGGGGCAGGGTTGCTGCACCTAGCTTTTCGTGCTGGGGGAAGGCAGTAAACTCAACTTTATAGCTTTGCTTCTCTAGGTGCAAGTGTGTGACTATTGCTGTAGACAGCTGCTTTCTGTATGTGCCGCCCCATAATCTCAGACAAACGCCTGCGTATTTGAGATGCTGTCTTTCTTCTCTGTTGGTAACCTTAGCAATCCCATCATGCTGGGTCAGTAAGTAGGAACCGGGAGAAAAAAAAAATGGGAAACAATAGTTTCCTGGAGGTTGTGCAGTTTCCTCAGAATGTACTTACTTTATGCTAGAGAGTGCTTCCTTTGATAGAGTCTTTTAAAAAGCATTGATTACTCACACTCCCATACATGCACGCACAGACATAAAAAGTCAAGTGCCACTTATGTTAGAATAGGGACTTAAAGTTCACTTGGGATTAATTTTTCTTCTCTTTTTTTCTTCTCTTCCCTGCTAAATAAAAGCATGTGAGATATGTCAAACCCGTGTGTCCTACTGTGAGTTTCTTTGCATTATTTTTAAAAATCTTTTTGGGAACGAGGAGAAAATCATGATTAGTGATTTGTGATTTAGTTCCATTCTGATTAAGAGGATTTAAGCTGCAATTTCTGCTATTATGAATTAAATGTCACAGTTCATTAGAGTAGAGCCAATTCAGTCCATTCCAAGTCTATATCCATGTTTCCGATATTAAATCCTTTCCTCAGGATGCATTAACTTGGCATCAAGATGCTTCAAGTGTATCTTTTTTCAATTAAACAAGAAAATATCAGAGCATAACTTTTTCATTTGTATTAATGTGCAAGAGACAGGTGTGAGCTAGAGAAGCAAAATGATCTCTTGGTCTAATTCTAATGATATCAGAAATAACTTGAAACAGAAGATGTTAGGAATAAGCAAGCATAAGCCAGCTTCTGCTTGTATTTATGAGTACAGGACATGTAAACTAACATTCTGCACCCCTAACACTTGCTAATTTTATGGGGCTCTCATATATCTCCAAATAAAAATGTAAATACAAGCCCTAGAAAATGATTTTTAAATATATGATAATGTGGTAAGGTGATTATTTATACTTGCATACTTTCTCAGGTACTTTTTAAAACTGAATGTATCCGAAGAAAAGCCTCAACATTTTAACCTGGTTGGCTCATGCAAGATGCTTAATCTATGTTAGTTTTAGAAATCAGAAACTATTAAGGATATAATAAACTTCACACCTATAATTCAAAGCCATTTCTTAATAATAGTTAAAGTAATTCTTCACATATTATAATTTATTATGTTAAACAATAGAAATAGATAACATATTACTAACTTTAGATTTGCCTTTCAGACAAATAGGAATTTATATAACTACATGGGAACATAAAATATTGAATGACCTGGAATAAAAAATAAATATGTAATCATCTGATTTTAGAACATAATTAGTGTGTGTATGTACATACATATACATATAAATATATACATATGTTACATAGGAAATATATTAAAGATATTACATAGGAAATAGAGATATTACATAGGAAAAATTGACAATCTACTGATTCCTATAACTCAGTTCTCCCATTTCAAGAAAGTCCTTCTATATATACTTTCTTCATATCATCTCATTTTCTCTCCTAAACTCAATCAGACTTTTATCTCAAATGCTTTTATCTCTCACTAAAGCCCTATATCCTGGTAATCCCAATAGGCAATTCTCAATCCCTATTTTATTGCTATTGTATTTCTCACCATTGATCACTCCCTTGTTACCTGAACACTTGTTTCACTTGGTTTCTGGACCAACACTCTCTTGTTTTTCTTCTGTTAGTGGTCATTTGTTCTGTACATCTATTTTTCTTTTTCATGTTTACTTACTTTTGAGAGAGAGAGAGAGAGACAAAGTACCAGCGGGGGAGAGGGAAGCAGAGAGAGAAGGAGACAGAGAATCCAAAGCAGGCTCCAGGCTCTGAGATGTCAGCACAGAGCCCAATGCAGGGCTTGAACTCATGAAGTTCAAACTCAGTTCATGACCTGAGCCAAAGTCGGATGGCTAACCAACTAAACCACCCAGGCACCCCAGTACATCTATTTCTGATGTACGCATTTTGGTATGCCCAGGGGCTCCATTCTCAAACATGTTTCTGCCATATTTTATGTCATTTACAGATAATCTATCAAGTGCCACTGGCTCAAATGTCATCTACATTAATATTGCATATTGTTTCGGGGTGAATTTTAACCCTCCCCTAATTCATATTTTGAAGTGAATCACATCAGATAAAATCTATATTCATGTGATAGGGCTGCCATTACAAAGTATCACATACAGCAGCATAAACAACAGAAATATAATGTCTCAAAGTTCTGAAGATCAGAATGTGACTTTATTTGGAAATAATTTTCTATAGCCTTACAAATGAGTTGCTAATTTTATGGAGGCACACTGTTTTAAAATGTGCCAGTTAAACTTTGTACAGTCATTGTAGTTCTAATTGATTAGTTACAATGAGTTCCTAGTGGCATAGTCAGGCCCCTGATCCAATGACTGGTGTCTTTTCAAGAGGGGGGAATTCGAACACAGACAAGAACACAAGGAGAAAATCATGTGAAGCGTGAGCAGAGATCCAGGTGATGCTTTTAGAAGTCAAGGAATGCCAAAGATTGCTAGCAAACCACCAAAAGCTAGGGGAAATGCATGAATCAGCTTCTTCCTTATAAGCCTTGAAAGAAACCATCCCTGTCCATGATGACTTGATTATGGACTTCTGGTCTCCAAAACTGTGAGACAAATTACTTCTGTTTCAGCGACTCAGTTTGTGATACTCTAGTTAAAGCTGCCCTAGCAAACAAATACAGATTTGATCTAAGACGATGTGTTGAAATTTCTTATCTTTAGCTCCAATAATCTCCTGAAATTCATATGCAATTAATTGTCTACTTGGCATTCTCACTGGCATCTTAAAGTGATCTCCTGATTCCTCCTTCTACACACCAATCTTGCTCCTCCCCAGTTATTCACATCTGAGCAAATGATACTCAACTGTTGGGGTAAAAAACCATGAAGTCATACTTTCCCTCAGCATTTACATCCAAAGACATCAAGAAGCCTCGCTGGCTGTAACTCCAAAACACATCTTCACTTCAACTTCATCTTGCACTTGCACCACCCATGATCCAACACCAGCCTAGTCTGCATGCCATTGCGTTCGCCTTGATTACCAAAAAACAAACACGCGAAACATTTTTTTAAAAATTTTATTTGTTTAATGTTTATTTATTTTGAGAGAGAGAGAGAGAGAAAGCACACAACTGGGGGTGGGGAAGAGAGAAGGGGGGACAGAATCTGAAGCGGGCTCTGCTCTGACAGCAGAGAGCCCAACGCGGGGCTCGAACTCACCAACTGCGAGATCATGACCTGAGCTGAAGTTGGCAGTGAACCCACTGAGCTACCCAGGCATCTCCACTTTTTAAAAATATTATACTTGTTTCCACTGTATAGCCCCTATGATTAATTTTCCATGCAATGACTGGTGTTATCTTTTAAAAATTTAGATGAGGCTTCCCCCCCCCCCTTCTCTTCACAAAACCTACTGATGGTTTCCCATTAAATTCTGTAGCATAGCTTATAACACCCTTGAGCAGTGGTTCTCAACTGGGGGCAATTTTGACCCTACTACATCCGTCCTAGGGGTATTTCAAAATACCTGGAGACATCTGTGGTTGTTACAACACAAGGAGCGGGTGCTACTGGCCTTGAGTGAGTAGAGATGAGGGAGGCTGGTAAGCATCTACGATGCACAGGACACCCAAAATTTAAACAGTGCTGGAGTTGGCAAAATGTGAGCTACACAACCTGACCGCCTTCTGACTCACAGCCTACCATGTGTCCCTTGCTCATCTCCTCTAGCCACATTTTCATTCACTGTCTCCTCAACAAGCCAAACACATTCCTGCCACGGGGCTTCTGCACTTGCTGTTTCTTCTGCCACAACACTCACCCTAGATGCCGTGGAGTTCACTCCTCACTTCATTCACTTTTCTGTTACAACTACCTCTCCACAAAGACCTTCTGTGGTGGCCCCACCTAAATTAGCACCTCCCTGATAGTTTATCATTTATCCTGCTTTACTTTCATGCCTGTCATTACCTGATACTTTCTTTTGGTTTCAGTATTTAACTATCTCAACCAACACGACACCCTCAAATAGAATGTAAGCTCCCTGATTTATAGCAGGAATTTTCTGTGTTTGCTTACCATTCTACCCTCAGCACCTATATAGATATCGAGATATATATAAAACCTTTGTGAAATGAATGAATGAATTTGTTTGTTGGATAACCTTCCATGGCCAGAAGTCAACAAGGAACTCATATCTGGAGTCTGAGAATCTTTTTGTCAATAGGTACATCCCAGAAGAACTAGAACTTTGTGCATCATTGACAAGATCCCCACCCCTCCCGACCCTCAAAATGCAGAGTCTCAGAGAATTATAAACCAGACAGACCATTTGGACTGATCTCATAAAAGTCATCCAGAAGGTGAGGTCTCTCAGAATAGCCCTTATCTAAACCATGTTCGAACCCTCTCCTGGCCCATCCTCCACTCCAGCACAGCTGCTAACACCCTTCCAGGGCACCTTCCAGATCTTGTGCTGCAGATTAGCGGATACCTTCTTCTCTGAACGTCTCTTCTCTTTCTCCAGGACTACACTTCCCTATGATACTTCCTTGCAGTGACTATGTTCTCTTCCCTACACCTTCATACATCAGACCTCGAGGGAACTGGATGCCCTACTTCTCCATCCCAAAAGAGCCAGCCTTTAATTTTATGCCACTGAATTATATTACACATTGTGTTACCATGTTACCGTGGTCTTCCAAGGCCTTGGAAAGTCCCCCCTCCTTTAATGCATGTAGCTGCTGATGTTGTGTCACTCTCTCTGAAATTCCTCCTTTCATAATTCTTGGTACTTTCAATCTTGACGTGGATTATCCTTCCAGTAACTTAGTCTTTCCAACCCTAAACCTACTTTCTTTCAGTTATCTTACTCTCTCCCGCAGTCAGGACTCTCATTGTCAGAGTCCTAGCTAGACTCTGTAATTGTGAAAATATGCAATTTTTTTCCTAGCCTCCATTTCAAGCATTCTACTCTCTCCAACCATCCATTTTTGCTCCTACTCCAACTTAATCCTTCCAGTGACCAGCAAATAAACTCACAGTTATTCTTGACTTGTTTTACGATATCCTACAGTTCTAGTCTGGATCCAAACTATAATGAACTGTTAATGTCTTTACAGTTCTTATAAACATCTTTAAAAATAAAATCATTTAGGGGCGCCTGGGTGGCTCAGTTGGTTAAGCGTCCGACTTCAACTCAGGTCACGATCTCGCGGTCCGTGAGTTCGAGCCCCGCATCGGGCTCTGGGCTGATGGCTCAGACCCTGGAGCCTGCTTCCGATTCTGTGTCTCCCTCTCTCTCTGCCCCTCCCCCATTCATGCTCTGTCTCTGTCTCAAAAATAAATAAACGTTAAAAAAATTTTTTTAAATGAAATAAAATCATTTAATTTGCACTGAGATAATCCAATTTTTAATGTTAGTGAGAGGAAAATACTGTGCAATTTTTAAACAAGAAAATAGTGGATATATACTTTGGATAGCGTGCATATAGACAAAGACCTGGGAATAAGAATGCATAGGGAGGATATGTAGAGTAGATTTGTGAGTCAAAAATGAAATATCTCTTGCTGAATAAACAGGGTATGTTCTTGTTAATGCCAGAAGCTAAGAAGAGAAATATATGTTCAGAAACTGGGTAACTTTGAATATAACACAAAGTGATAGAGTTCATTTCTGAAGCAGAGGATCATTTATGAAGTTGACTTTCATTGTGTAACAAGGCCTGATCAAGGTGTTATCAGAGTGTGTTCATTTTATTTTAGTGCCCTGGAAAACATTTCTTCATGGTTAATTTAATAGAATCCTGCTGACAGTCACAATCCTACATGACAAAGTTTTTCATTAACTAATGGATATAAATGGCAAGAAGATATAAATAATATTCTGAGAGTTTTGCTGGGGGACAACTGGTTATTTGCAAAGAAAAAAAATCACATTATCGATCTCTCCTAGTCAATAGAGTAAAACAAATGGTGACCTTTTCTTCATTTAATAGCTCAAAATTATTGGTTGTATACTAAAAGAAACTGACTGGGAAACTGACTCTATATTAATCTTATTTATAGTATCTATTTTAAAGCTTCAAAGCAATCATTAAAGGGTCAAAACATATTTGAAAATCACTGGTAATTTTAAAACCAGATGAGATGCTTGGAATTCCTTTCTTTATGTATCTATAACTTAATACTGGTAATTAATCTACATCTTTAGTCTTGCTTGTCTTAATGGGTCTTATCAGAATGATAGGGTATTACAATGTAAGAATCTAATTAATATAATGACTTTACCTTCTATGTCTATGTAATCATTTTCTCAAATTATTTTTAAATGCACAGCTCAACAAATTATCACTAAACAAATACACTTGAAACCAACATTCGTATCAAGATATGGAATCCCCAAAGCCCCTTTCACCCCCTTCCCAATTACTTAATGTTCCCTGCCACTTAAAGATAACCACAGTAATCACTTCTCAAATTTTCTTTATAGTCCTATCACAGAAACTTACACGCTGAAACATGATACTCTAGTTTTGCCTGTTAAAAACTTCACAGAAATTGAATTATATAGAATGTAATCTTTAATATGGCTTGATATCATGTTTCTGAAAGTTATTCTTGAGGCTGGGAAGTGCTTAACTGCTCCGGAGAATTCTATTGTAGGATTATAACATGATTGATCGATTGATTTTTTTTTTTTTTTTATGTTTCACCGATAACACACATGGATATTTGTACGAATCAATATTGGCTAGGTCATGCCAAGGAAACAGAATTCTCAAGTCTCAGTGGCTAAGTCAACAGAGGATTGTTTCTCATTCATGCTTCATGCCCACTGCAGACTGGTGAGTCGTCACCTGAGATGTCATCGTTCTTTCAAGATCTAGTCTGACAGAGCAGCTACTATCTGGAGGGTTCTCCGATGCAGCACTGGTGAGGAGTGGGGGGAAAAAAATTGGCAAAGACACATTTGCTCTTAAAGTTTCTACACAGACATGATGCATGCCAGTTCTAATCACATTTCATCAACCAAAAAATGTAACATGGCCTGGCATGACTTCAAAGGGCAAAAAAGTAAACTCTTCCTGAAAAGAAGTGAACTGGATAGTGAAGAAGAATAATAAAGTCTCCCAGAGACCGTCATTGATTTCTTCAAATTCATGTTCAACCTCACATAATTAGAACTCATTTGTGGTCACACTAATTGAAACAATACAAAAATTCTAAACAGTTCCTGCATTAAACTGAAAGTCCATCTGATTTCTGAATAATATAAATTAATCCCTATGTCTGGTCAAGATGTCAGGTTCTTGATGCAGAGAACCACAAAAATAAAGAATAAAAGTGTCTATCCAACAGCAGGAGAAACACACATTCTTTTCTTTTTTTTTTTTTAATTTTTTTTCAACGTTTATTTATTTTTGGGACAGAGAGAGACAGAGCATGTACGGGGGAGGGGCAGAGAGAGAGGGAGACACAGAATCAGAAACAGGCTCCAGGCTCTGAGCCATCAGCCCAGAGCCCGACGCGGGGCTCGAACTCACGGACCGCGAGATCGTGACCTGGCTGAAGTCGGACGCTTAACCGACTGCGCCACCCAGGCGCCCCAACACACATTCTTTTCAAGTGGTGCACACTGAATATTCTCCAGGATAGATCATATGATAGGTCACAAAATAAGTCTTAGCAAATTTAAGAAGACTTAAATCATACATAGTATCTTGTCCAATCACAATGACATGAAACTATAATAATGTATCTTGTCGAATCATGATGATATGAAACTATAAATTAATAATGGAAGGAAAACTAGAAGATTCAAAAACATGTACAAATTAAATACATTCTTCAAAGACCAGAGTGTAAATAAATATAAAGGAAAATTGAAAAAAGGTATCTTAAAAAAAACTACAGAAACACAATATACCAAAAATTATGATTAAGCAAAAGGAGTACTAAAAGGGAAATAGATAGGCTACATTAACAAACGAGAAAGATACCAGATAAACAGCTAACCATTCATCTCAAGAAACAAGAACAAGAAGAACTAAGTCCAAAGTTAATAGAAGGGAGAAAATAACAAAGATCAGAGAAGAAAAAGATAAAACAGAGACCTATAAAACAATATAAAAAAATCAATAAAACCAAGCACTGTTTTTTAAAGATAAATAAAACTGACAAAACTTTAGCTAGACTAAGAAAAAAAGATTCAAATTAATTAAACAAATGAAAGAGGTGACATTATACATGATACCAAAGAAATACAAAGTATAGTAAGATAGTACTATGAACAATTATATGACAACAGATTTGAAAAACACTAGAACAAATGGATATACTTCCAGCAACATAACCTACCAACACTGAAACATGACACAGAAAATCTGAACAGACCAGTAACAAGAAAGGAGACTGACTCGGTAATTTAAAATTCTCCCTACAAAGAAAAGCCCAGGAACTAATAGTTTTCCTGGTGAATTCTACGAAACATTTAAAGAAGTATTCCTGCTAATCCTATTCAAACTGGACCTTTATCTTATGTCACAGACAAAACAAAAATTGAAAAGAGGGAACATGCCCAAACTTATTTTGTGAGGCCAGCATTACCCTGATAAAAAGCCAGATAAGGGGACTACTGGAGAAGAAAACTACAGACCCACATCCCTGATGAATACAGATGCAAAAATTTGCAACAAAATCTTAGCAAACTGATTTCAACAGCACATTAAATGGTTCACATACCATATCAAGCGAGGTCCATTCCTGGGATGCAAGTATGGTTTAATATACACATATCAATAAATATGATATATTAATACAATGGAGGATAAAACCATATGATTTCTGATCTCAACAGGTGCACAAAAAGCATTTAATAAAATACAACATCCTTTCATGATAAAAATTCTCAGCAAATTGGATAGAGAAGGAACATATAGTAATAAAGGCCATATATGATAAATTCACAGCTAACATCATACTCAAGAGTAAAAGGTTGAAAGCTTTCCTCTAAGATCAAGAATAAGATGGTCACTCTCATTAATCCTATCCAACATAGAAGTCTTAGCTAGAGCAATTAAGCAAGAAGAAAAAAAAATACATAAAAGCCATTCAAATCATAATGGAAGACATAAAGTTGTCTTTGTTTTACAAATGATAAAAATACTCTAAAGACTTTACCAAAAAACTCTAAGAACTAATAAGCCAATTCAGTAAAGTTTCAGAATACAAAATTCAACACATAAATATCAGGTGTGTTTCTATATACTAACAACAAAACATCCGTAAAGGAAATAAAAGAATCCTATTCACAATAGCATTCAAGCAATGAAATACTTAAGAATAAATTTAATTAGTAAATGATAACTGGAAACTATGACTTTCATAAAAAAAAATTGAAGACGACCCAAATACATGGAAAGCCACCCATGTTGCGGATTGGAAAAATATTATTAAAATGTTTATACAAGCCAAAGTCATTTATGGAATCAATGTCAATTATGGAATCAATCTTTATCAAAATCCTAACGACATATTTCAATGAAATATAAAATAAATCCTAAAATTTGTATGGAACCACAAAAGACCTTAGGATAACCAAAGCAATCCTACAAAGGACAAAGCTGGAGGCATCACACTTTCTGATTTCAAACTATACTACAAAGCTATAATAATCAACACAGAATGGTGCTGCCATAAATATAGACATGGACCAAGGGGAAAAATCAAGAGCCCAGAAATAAACCCACACGTGTGTATTCATAAAGTATTTGACAATAGAGCCAATACACTCAATGGGGGCAAATGACAGTATCTCCAATAAACCACTGGGAAATCATCCAGTGTTGGGAAACCTGGATTCCCACATGCAAAAGAATGAAAAATAGACTCTTAAACCATGCACAAAAGTTAACTGAAAATGAATTAAAGACTTGAAAATAAGACCCCAAAGTATAAAATTTCTAAAAGAACACATAAGAGGTAATCTCCTTGACTCCGGTCTTAGAAATGATATTTTGGGATTTGACACCTAAAGGAAAGACAACAAAAGTAAAAATAAGTGGGAGTACAGAAAGCTAAAACTATTCTATACACACACACACGAAGAAAAAATTCAACAAGATGAAAGGCAACCTATGGAATGGGAGAAATTATCTATAAGCAATTTATCTGAAAAGTGGTTAATATCCTAAATATATAAAAACCTCCTACAACTCAAGACCAAGAAAACCCAAAGAATCTTAATAAAAAACAGGCAGAGGATCTGAATAGACATTTTTCCAAAGAAGACATATAAATGGCCAACAGGTACACGAAAAGGTGTTCAACATCACTAATTATCACAGAAAGGCAAATCAAAACCAAGAAATATTATTGCATACACACTGATAAATTGTTTGATGAATGGTTATCACCAAAAAGAACAGAGATAACAAATGTTGATAAGCATGTGCAGAAAAGGGAACTCTTGTCTACTAGTAATGGGAATGTAAATTGGTATGGCCATCATGGAAAACACTGTGGTGGTTCCTCACAAATAATAATTAAAAATAAATAAATAAACAGAACTATCATATGATCCAGAAATCATACTTCTGGGTATATATTCGAAGGAAATGAAATTAGGATCTCAGTGAGGTATCTGTACTTCCATTTCCATTACAACATTATTCACACTAGCCAAGAATTGGAAGCAACTAAGTGTTGGTAGATTAAGTGAAATACATCACACGGAGAAAGACAAATACTCTAAGACATCACTTACATGTGGAATCTAAACAAGTCAAACACAGAGTCAAACAGAGAGTAGAGTTGTTGTTCCCAGGAGCTTGGGGGTGGGGGTTTGGGGGAAATGGGTAGATGTTGCTCAAAGGGTACAAACTTCCAGTCATAAAATGAAAAAGTTCTGAGGATCTATAATATAGTGGTGATGATAATTAATACTGTATTATATATGTGAAAATTACTAAGATAGTAAACTCCAAATGTTCTCACCACACGCAAACAAAAGGTATTTACATAAGGTGATGAAAGTATTAACTAATCCGTAATCATTTCAATACTATACAATGTATCTGATTATCATGTTGTACACCTTAAACTTACACAATGTTTTATGCCAATCGTATCTCAAGGTTGGCAAAAATGCGTTTCCAGTAGACACACCAAAAACATAAGTTTTGTGGAACATAAAGACAACAGATACATATTGATGGAACATGAATAAGAGATTGTCCATTTGTATAAGAATGGTAAACTAGCTACCATTGATCCAAATGATTATTAAATCCCTCTAGGGAGGCATTAAAAATAGCCCTTAGCTTCCAGTTATGGAATGACTAAGTCAAGGGATGAAAGGTACAACATAGGGAGTATAGTGAATGATATCGCAATAGCATTATAGGGTGACAGATGGTAGTTATGCTTGTGAGCACAGCCTAATGTATAGAGCTGTCGAATCACTATATTGTACACCTGAAGCTAATGAAACATTGTGCGTTGACTATACTTTAATTAAAAAAAAAGTTAATGGAAAATATGTATAGCCGTTATGGAAAACATTATGGGATTCTTCAAAAAACAAATGAAGAACAGAACTACCATTAGATCCAGCGATCACTTGTATACATACATCCAAAGGAAACACAATCATTATCTTGAAGAGAAAGCAAAACAAAAAGTAGCTGTTCATTTTAGAATGGGGAATACTCTTTAGGGGCGCCTGGGTGGCTCAGTCAGTTCAGCATCCGGCTTGGGCTCAGGTCACGATCTCACGGTTTGGGAGTCTGAGCCCTGCATCGGGCTCTATGCTGACCGCTCAGAGCCTGGAGCCTGTTTCAGATTCTGTCTCCCTCTCTCTCTGCTCCTCCCCTGCTTGTGCTCTGTCTCTGTCTTTCTCGCTCTCATTTTCTCTCTCTCTCAAACATAAACATTAAAAAAAAAAAATAGAATGACTAATATTCTTGAATAGATTATTATTTCTCTTCTCTCTCTCTCTCAAACATAAACATTAAAAAAAATTAGAATGACTAATATTCTTGAATAGATTATTATTTCTCTTCTCTCTCTCTCTCTCTCTCTCTCTCTCTCTCTCTCTCCGCCTCCCTCTCTCAAAAATTGAAAGAGAGCAAGCAGGGGAAAGGCAGAGAGAGATGGAAACACAGAATCTGAAGTAGGCTCCAGGCTCTGAGCTGTCAGCATACAACCCAACACAGGGCTCAAACTCAAAGTCACCCAGGTGCCCCAAATAGATGCTGATTTTGATCCCTGGTTTTAGATCTCTACTTTATCACCCTCAGATCCTCTCTCTGAGGTCCCTATCTATCTATCTATCTATCTATCTATCTATCTTTTAATACAGTCTTTTTTTTTTTAATTTGGTGTTTGGCTTCTTCTGAATAGAACTTTGTAGATTATGCTTTAGTGGTTTGATCACTTTCTTGTGTATCTTCCTGCACATTAGAGTTTGAAGGATCTAAAAAGTTGTCTCAAATCTCAAATAGTTACTTCTCTTTAGGCTCAGAATTCCATTAGCAATATGATTATCTCAAAAACTCAATTTTCTATATTTGATTTGTGTCAACCCCACAATGTAATAGCTAGATACACACTGTTTTGGGAGACATACTTCTAAAATATGTCATAGTTCTGTGTTCTCCTCCTGATGTCTATTGACATTCAGTCTCTCAATACTCTATGTAAGACAGTCAACTGGACAGCCAAAGGGGAGCCACATCTTAATCTCTGCTTTCTAAGATATTTTGTGAATTTGAAATAAGTATTTTTAGTGTTTCACTGTTTTATTAATTTAATCAATCATTACGGCCCTTGTTTTGCTTGGACCCTTGCCAACAGAATACATTTTAATAGAGGTTAAGTTAAAAACACCTTTGGATTTCTGGCATAAAATCAACTTGGTCAGATACTCCTGTAACAGTTAATAATAGTAGCTTAAAACTACAGTCATTTATTTAGGCTACACATTTGCTGAGTTGTTCTCATCTAGGATGAGTCTGGCTTATTTGAGCTAGGCTCTCATGTATCTACAGGTAGTATTCAATTTAGGTAGGGGCTGTAAGTTCCTGCATGGCCTCCCATATCTGGCAGTTAGGCACCTGTCACGTGGGACAACAGAGGTGATTTGGCAATATGTAACTCATCTGCCAGACAAACTCAGGTTTGTTCACATAGTAATGATATTGCCAGAATACTAAGCTCCAATGCTCAAGAGGTTTTTAAGCTTCTGTTTGCATCATATTTGTCAATGTCTCAATGGCCAAAGCAAGTTTTACGGTCAACACAGTTTCAGTCGTTGGGATAACAGGCTCTGCCTCTTGATGGGACTTGCTGCAAAGTACTGTGGCCATTTTTGCACACTACCATATTATTGGATTTTACTGCTAGATTTAATTTGCTAATATTTGCTTAGGATTTTTGAGTGTTAATATAGGACATTGGCTGTATTATACTTCACAAATTATGGAATGTTCCTGATTTTCTGCTTTCTAAAATAGTGTGCATAATATTAGCATTATTTCTTTCTTAAACATTTGAATTTATTCACAGTTTAATTTTGGTTATTGTTTGCACGGTCTATCATTTCCCATTTTTAAATAATCAACTTTATGTATTCTTTACTTTTAGACATATAACCTGCAAATACCACAAAGCTAGCTTTAAAAACACTTATTCTGATGGTTTTTATCATTCGCGTGGGACATGTATTCCCTTTATTTTTTATATAGCTACTGACATACTATGTCTAACCTTTCTCTTTTCTTGTTTGATCTTGATTTATCCTCACTGCTTCAATGCCACTATTCTCTTGTTTCTGGACTTCTGTTTGAGTATTTTTATTTTCCATTTTTCCCTCCAATCAACTTGGAAATTATGCACTTTAACAATTTTAGTGGTTACGCAGAAAATTACAATACGCATTTGTCACTTTTTAGAGCCTAAATTCATCTCCAATTTATCTTATCCTTAAACAATGTAAGAAGTTAGAACACTGGCTCCACTTACCCCCAACCTGTCCCCTGCTTTGTGATTTTATATTTTTGCAGCTTTATACTATACATACCAAAAGAAATTAATAGTATTTTTAGGCCCTATTCGTTTACACTTATGCACATATATACCATTTCTGTTGCTCTCTATTCCTTTCAGACTTTTGAAATATTATGTGGATCCATATTCTCTATACTGGAAAACTTCCTTTTGCATTACCTTTAATCTCTTCCTCTGGCTGTTTTTAAGATATTTTCCTTATCTTTAGCTTTGGGCATGTCACTAAGATATAATGTCATAAATAATGTAGTATAATTTACGTAATGTATAAAATATAATTAACAATGTAACATAATATACAAATGACTCAAA